ATCATAAATTCCATCAAAAATGTTTACTAAAAATTTACAAAAAATATAAGAAAATAATGATGTAAGTACAAAAGGAGTTTATTATTCTTCCCTATTAAATATATAGGTATATCGGAGATATGTTTTATAATGTATCGAATATACAGAAATATTCTTTTATAATATCCTAGAATATTTACTTAGAGAATTAGTTGACAAAGATATATATATTTACACATATTATCCCAAACCTGATTAAATTCAAAACCTAATCGTTAGAGCATTGAAGCAGGTAGATCATATAAGAAAGGAAGAGACGTGTCCTAAGTAAAAATTCAAACAGAGTCAAAGTAAGAGTGAAATGTTACAGTCACGAAGCGCACTATCTTCGACAATCTTCAACGCAAAATGTACCTGCAAAAGCTGCACTCAAGCTTGAGATTTAAAATTTATCATCGTGATGCATTGCCGTTGACTCAGCCGACGAACTCGTTCGTCGGAGAACTTGATTGTCGTTTCTCACGTAGCTGTTCCATAAACGTGGAATTTGCGAATTTGCGCGTGATAGCGAAGTTGAATGAAGTCGATCAGGTTCATTGCCAGAAATCGTGGCTTCGCGAAACAAACAAAACAAAACAAAAATACGACGCGATTTCGCATCAAAAACAGCGTGTGTTCGCGAAATCGATCGCGATCTTAACGAGAAGATCTTTCCGGAAGGTCTAACAAGACCAACGGTCGAGCTGCAACTGCTCTCCCGCCAACGAGCCCGTACCTCGCATCTCCAATCAACTACTTCCTCGCAAGCTCAAATTAAATGTTCTCTCTACCCTGCTTCCCCACTACCATCAGCAACCACCACCATCACCATCACCACCAACGTCGTCGTCGTGGTTGTCGTCGTCGAACGGACACCGCGTGTTCCCGCGTGTTCACGGTTTACAGTTGCGTCGCGCATTGTGCAAGACCCTCTCTCTCTCTATCAGAGGGGCCCTTCGCATCCTCCGACCCCCTCTTAGATCATCGGACCCCAGGGTGAACGAGGTCGATTCGGTCGGCTCCGAAAATGCGCCGCGTCGCATCGTGCAGATGCGCTCTCTGCCTTCGCTCGACCTTTTCGGGTCTTTATATTGCGGATGAAAGGAAGAATTAATTTTTGCTTATTTAATAGATTTATAAGTCAAGGTCACATGATATTACGATAATTTATTAATTCGTGTCAGTATGATATTCACATTTCAGATTTAATATTTAATAATAATAAGTATAATCTAAATTACGTAAACCAAATCTAATATAAAATATGATCGTAATATTTTAATTTTTATTATATTTTAACCTATTCAAAGTCTTTCTCATGTAATGAATAAAAACGAAAAATATAATTATTATTTAATAATGTTAGACACTTTATAAAATAATTAATTTGTGTTTATTCATTTTTGCTTAACATTGAAATAAAAAGCGTTTTTTTTTATTGAACTGCTTACAGAAGAGTAACGTCCGATATTTTGTAAAATACGAGAAAGATTATAAGGAAAGTTTGAACCTTCTTTTAAAGTGTAGATACATATATACGCCATATACATAAAGAGGTGTTTTGATCGTGAAACCTTCACACAAAGTACGACGGGTATGCTGCGATTGATAAAACGAACGTTGTTTTGCTCAAAGTCATTGCTTTGAACACGAAAAGGACATAAATTACGTTAAAATCATAATCTCGATCACAATGTTCTTAGTTTTCTCGCCGGGATATATCGACTTGAATAAAAACATGTCAATCCTTAAATTTCTAGCGTCTCATTTAAGTGGAGTTTATTTCTTTATATAAAAAAAATGGTAGGCGTATTTTAAAAAGAAAATTTAAACCTTCCTATTTGTTTTTTTAAAAGAACAAAAGAAATCTATCTAATGTGTGATTAATAAAAGCTTTGATTATCAAGTATTGATTATAACAACACGATTTTTAAATAAAAAAGTAAAAAATTTTTGTTAGGAATACACATATCAATAAAAAAAATGGTTATATATACCAAAATATTTTTGTCAATGTAAATTAAATGTAAAAGTGGTATTAACGTCTTATTTCTTGATAGTGTTAAAATAAGAATGGATTATGAATATCTAAGGTATTGCAAAAAGGTTTTCGTTTGTATAATGACTCGCAAGTAATTCAGGAAACTATCGAGACAATGACATAAAAAAAGAAGGTTGATTTAAAAACGTATATGGTTATATTATACGTATATACGTTTTTAAATAGATAAGGTCCGTCCTTAATTACAGATTAGAATGATTAGATTATTAGATTATCAGCCATCATTTTCTCTTTGATCGTTAGTTCGAGAGATAATATATGTAATTATTAGTCTTCATGTCTAACCATTAGTCTAACTAACCATTTACTTTTCAAGACCAATGCCTTAATTAACCACTGGGTCGTCAGTAGTTAGTGAATCAACCGAAGTGAAAGAAACATCTGCATATACATACATTTTCAAGATATCGATTCAGTCAGTGTAAAAATCGCGAAAAACGAAAGAATAAAAAATTCGCATAATAGATAAAATAAATTTTTTCTATAAAAAATAAATCGATAGAAATTGCAAAATTATAAGAATTTTAGTATTAAAATCGGGTATTTTTGAAAATATAGCATGTTTTTTATTTCCTCTATGGAAGATTAAAAAGTATCAATTTCTTACAAAAAATATATAACACAATTGAATACCAATTAACAACAACATAACATCAATGTTATAATTTTATATTCAATATAAATGCAATGTAACACATGAGTTACACAACACATGGGTTACACAACAGTTACATTGTTGAGTGTAAAATTATGACATTAATAATAGTTTAAAAAACTTTAAATATTGAAACAATATCAAGTTAACGACTCTCACAATTAATAATCAATATAAAAACCTATATGTTCAAAATTATACATCGGTGTATACAGGCAAGTAGAGTCACAATGTTAGTTATAATTTAACGATACTTATTACATCTAATTCGTGATCCAACGATTACGAGCGATTCCGGGACGTTTTGGCAATAGTTTTTTGCCATCTTCAGCGGTGGATGTTATAAATTCGTATTTAGATTGAATTCTTACGTTGTCTAAGTATAAGCACAACCCTCGGCCAATGAAGTTCCTCAGCTTATTGATAACGATACTGTTGTCTAAATATTATAATATTAAAAATGTTGTAATTTACTTCTTTAATTCATATGTATATTTGACCAATTATTATGCTTACCCTCAGATTACTGTATCACATATTTGCATACACAGAATATACATACTCTCCAACATAATTATTATTTTAGACAAAATATCTCACTTTAATTTAATTATATAATTTTAGATATAACAAATATGTCTTAAGCAAACTAATTGTGTGTTGTTAATATTATGATTATAACCGAACTGAAGGAAATTTATCGATAAGTCAAATTACTTTCAGTTTTTATTAGTACTTGTGTTATTATTTATGAAATCTATGTATGCTTTATTTAGTAGTTCTGTGTCTGTCTTTAAATTTAAACCATTAGACTGTTTTTTAATGAAAATCATCTCTGACACTATGCGTTTGTTATAAAATCTTTCCTCATCCAAAACAGTTACATTTTCCCAATCGAAACGTCCGGAGTCGCTCGTAATCGTTGGATCACAAATTAGATGTAATAAGTATCGTTAAATTATAACTAACATTGTGACTCTACTTGCCTGTATACCGATGTTTAATTTTGAATACATAGGTTTTTATATTGATTATGATGTTATGGTATTTTCAGTTGATATTTATACTGAACCGAGAATTAATCTCTTTTATTTGAATATGAGTATTAAATATGAGTATTAAATATGAGTATAAACAAATCTTTGATGCAATAAAATAATTTAGTTGAAGCAAAAAAATTTGGTTATTGTAACATTTTACTTGCATTTTTAGAAACAAATAAAATATTACAATAATCAAATTTTTTGCTTCAAGTAAGTTATTTTATTCTTTATTACATACCAATCAAGGATTTGTTCATCCATATCTAAACAAGAGATTAGTTGATTTAATTCAAATAAATGAGATTTTTAGTGTAGGAAATACATTTCTTTTGTAGCTTCTACCTACGTTAAATTAATCAAAATATAATAAAAAAAAATTTCAAAAAATATGAAAGAGTGAGAAATTCGTTCTTTATGGAATATAACTGTGTGAATTAATTTTCTCTTTTTATTTAATTACATATCATATTTAAGTGCCTTTTTCATCATTTAGATTTCTCTTACATTAGAAAAAATGTCCTTCCCATTGCTCGAACAATTTCATGAATTAGGGTAATATTTTCTTTAGAGTGGAAATGTAAAAAATGAATTTTTTATGTACATCTCGTATGTATGTATACGTAGATATACACACATGTATACAAAACAATTTTACTTTTTACGTTTCCACTCTAGGAAAAAAGTTACATGATCGAAACCTAGTAGATTGTAACTTTTAACGACATTTCGATAACGTCATACTGTCGTTGCGCAGTTTTTTCACATGTAAAATATTTGCGCAACGACATCCCTGTAGCTAGTAAAATTGCTGTCGTTAAGAAGTTGCAGAATAGGCATGATATCCACAACAGGTACATACATACTCCGACTTTCTTTCTTCGATATATTTTTTAATTTGTGCGTTTTCATTCGGGAACTCCTTCGCGCAATCGTAACCGCGTGAAGCGAGACGCAAACAAGAATTGCGGGAAATTCCAAACCACCTCGCGTTTGCGTTGCCAGCAGTTGTTGCATATTCATGAGACGTAGCTAAACGGGAATTCTCAATCGTATACACGTTCGAGAAAAGAGAAAAGAGAGAAAAAGAGAGAGAGTGTCTTCTTGGCAAATTTTCATTGACTTACACGGTCTTCTCTCTCTCTCTCTCTCTCTCTCTCTCTCTATCGCTCCTTAAAACTTGCGTGAAAGTATGCGAGGGATAAAAAAATTGAAAATTTCTCACCTGCATCTTTGCGAGTCCCTGGCGATCTCCGAGCGTTCCGTATAAACTACAGTACGATTAATTCGATCACAGTATCCGCGCTCCACGGATATCTGTCGCAACGGAGATTCTTTTTCGCGAAGTTTTCGCAGGATGTATACAGCGCGGATGCGAAGTCACGCGGCGGCGCCAACCTGTCATCCGTGACAGGCGTGACAGCACGCTGACACACACTGGCTGATACCGACTCTGTACTACCAGGTAGTCGGCTACTATACACTGACGCACTCGAGGAACAACCGCGTCACCCGCGTCACCGTCGCCGTGATTCAACCATCGTCATCGCGAGGTGTGGGTGAAAGCGGGGATCTGCGGAGAGATCTGCTATCCCCTCTCCCTCATTAGTCGTACTTTTCTTTCGGCGTTCCACGTTATCGCGGTCGGTAAAGAAGATTTCCACCCTCTTGTGTTGTGAAGGTCCTGCAGTCTGGTAACTGCATCGTGTTTGTACTTTTAATAAAATCGATGAATATATAATTAGGAGACTGAAGAAGAAAAGAGAAAAATTGTAAGGACAAAAATTTAACTACGAAACATAAATTATAGTGCGAATCTTCTTGATGCATTATGTCTTACTTTGAATTTTTTCTCTTTAAAATCTGAACAATTATTAGATTATTTTATTAAATGAATATAGAAAAAAGAAAGAAAAAGAATGACAAAGTATATAATCCAAACACACGTTTAATAAAAGCTAAAAAGAATTAAAATAATTTTTCACAGATATTTGAAATAAAATTAGAATAAAATAAAATAAATACGATATTAAACAAATAGGATAAAAAATAAATACATACAAAGACTAATTTTACAATGTGCTTTTTGTTTCCTGTTTCTTGCTGTTTGTTTCTTTTACCTTCTTGATCAAGAAGGCAAAAGAGACAAACAGCGTGAAACAGGAAACAAAAAGCACATTGTAAAATTATCCTTAAACACTGCAGAGACAAAAGAGAAGCGAAAACATTAAAACACAAGAGATTTAAAAAAGTATTAGAGGACACATAATACTAGATAGCTGATTTTCGGATTTTCGGGCTACATAAAACGTATTTAAAACGAACGGATCTGCCGCGTTGACACGCGGACAGGTGAGATGGCAATGACAATGGAATTTTTAACGGGCCGCGGAGTTGCGCACGGTGTCTATGGTTTCACTTTCATGCGGAAGTGAACTTGCATGCTTGCGATAGCCCGATACCGACGGCGATAACGGACGTCGGCATAATTGCGTCAGGGGGGCCGATCCCTGTGGTGGAGCGTAACCGTCGCCGTTGCTTGACAAGTGTAGAACCGAGAAAGATGGCCGATATGACGGAATCGCCGCCGCTTTTTGACACCAACGAGACGAAATTGGTCGACCTGGAGGACGACGACGAGGATATCTTCGCGTCTGCGGTGCAGGTATCATCGTAGCTAATGACCCACCACGCCGGGAATCGAAACTCCGCAGGAGAAGAAAAGAAAGAACAGATTGTAGTCCCGATGAACCCGCATACTGCGATGCTGCGAGATTGATCTGTGTTCGTTCGTAGTTGCATGATAATTGACGTGAGACGTGTCTCCTCGGCACCTTTATACCGTCTGGAGTTGAACCCGTTGAAATTACATCCATTTCAATCCGTCTGAACAGAAACACTGTGCTGCAAAACCTAGTATTTTGAGATCTCTATCTTAATTGATTCGATATCAATAATATGTGAATTCTGCAGTTGTTTTCCATTTTCACAATGATAGAGAGTCTAAAGTTCTATATTTTATACTCAGATTGTGACACAAGTTTATAACTTAAATGTGAGTTAATAAGACTCACAGTACAGCACATGGTCTTTAGCTTGTACAGATTGTAGATTTTTTTAGTTGAATTTTATATGTCAGAATGAATAAGAACATGGTGTTCAACCGAATTATAATGTCACAAATGAAAACTATTCGTTTCGGTGTAAATAGCAACTTGTGTCTTGATTTGATATTTACACGTAATCAAGAATGTAATACAATAAATTTTGTTTGTAAGCTTGCTGTAAATTAGAAATATTCATTGTGTTTATAGGAACAGAATCAATTAGAGGATGTTTCACCTTATAATGGAGTGTCCAAGATACAAGCAGAATTGCCAAAGCTGTCTTTGCGAGACATGCCAGAAGACAATTCGTTTTCATCGATGTCCAGCCCAGCTCCGGGTCCTTTGAGTCCTCCACTAGGACCAATAAATACAGATATCGGAGATCTTCATGATGTTCCTATCAATGATAATGCAGATACTTTGTCTACAAACATCATTCATTCTCGGTCTTTGGAAGAGGTATGTGTTATATTGCGTTATGTACAATATAATTGTAATTTTAACACTGTGTTATTTATGTATAGGTTCCAACAGACACATCTGAAGTTTTCTTAAAAATTACTGTCACTTCACCTCAAAAGATAGGCGAAGGAATGGGCGCCTATGTCGCATATAAAGTTGAAACGAGAACAAATATGCTTATTTTTAAGAAAAGGAACTTTAGTGTAATTCGGCGTTTCAGTGATTTCCTAGGTCTTCATGATAAGTTGACAGAGAAATATCTTAGGAATGGCAGGATAATTCCACCAGCCCCAGAGAAAAGTGTAATTGGTAGGAATATAAAATTGATTTTTGTGAAGTTTATTCGCGGTTATAAGAAAGTCATTAAGAAACATAAATGATATAACAGGAACAACAAAAATAAAAATGTCGGGAGACAAGAGTCAAGAGCAAAACTCGAGTTCCACAGAATTTCTTGAACGACGTAGAGCAGCTCTCGAGAGATATTTGAATAGAACGGCTGTACATCCAGTTCTGAGTATTGATCCCGATTTCAGAGAATTTTTAGAAGCTGGTAAATATTGATACTCACAGATAATAAGTTGTATGATTAATAGATTAAGTTCTTTTGATTAAATGTCAGTGATTCTTTTTTTTTTCTAGATGTAGAATTGCCTAAAGCTACCAATACATCTGCATTGAGTGGTAAAGGAGTAATGCGGCTTTTCAACAAAGTTGGGGAAACGGTTAATAAGATAACATATAAAATGGACGAGAGCGATATGGTGAGATTTCTTCAATGTAACTCCATATTTCTTCTTGCATGTATTTCCTATGAAGTATCGTGAAACAATTTTTTGTTGCTTGCAATAGGAGAAAGGTAAGGTACGTTTATTTGAAATTGACGTGTCGACTTGTACATTACCACGTATTTTTAATTTAATCCACATTGCTGTCAATAGACTTAACATATTATTATTATATAATATATCACAAAAATAGATTTATTACAATAATTTATCGATATATTTAAAAGCATTATACACCAATTGCTGTACGTATATGTATGATTATTCATTATTTAGAAAGAAATAAGATTAATAAAAATCTATATTTTTGTGCAGTGGTTTGAAGAGAAAACATCGCAAATAGATTCTCTTGATATTCAGCTACGCGCTTTACATTCCGCGGTCGATTCCTTAACAAATCAAAGAAGGGAATTGGCGAATTACACTGGTGCTACGGCGAAGTCGATTGCCGTTCTTGGTCATGGCGAACCTGGAGCATCTCTTGGCAGAGCTTTGGCACAATTAGCCGAAACTCTGGAGAAAGTTGAAGTGATCAGGAAGACGCAAAGCAACAGCGATCTCTATCAATTTGGAGAAATGTTGAGGGATTACGTCGCACTCATTGGTGCAATTAAAGTTGGTGTTTATAATTTACGATTGCATTATATTCCTGATGTTTTGTTTTTTTATATACATGACATTGTTTTACAGGATGTTTTTCACGAGAGAGTGAAAGTCTTTCAAAATTGGCAACACGCTCAGTTGATGTTGAATAAGAAACGCGAGCAAAAAGCACGACTCGAGCAATCAGGCCGAACAGATAGGACGAGTCAAGCAGCTACTGAAGTCATAGAATGGGAAGCAAAAGTGGACAGGGGTCAGGAAGAATTCGACAATATCTCGAAGATGATAAAGGAGGAGGTCGAACGCTTTGAATTAGTCAGAGTGCAAGATTTCAAGAAACAGTTAATTGAATACCTGGAATCAATGTTAGAACATCAGAATCAACTTATCAAGTATTGGGAGAGTTTTTTACCCGAAGCACGAGCGGTGGCGTAAACATTCCGTTAAGAGAGACGATACGATAGCAAGGCCGATACCTACCGTATAATACGAAAAGAAATAACTTCTGTGATGTTCGTCGAGACGAGTTATTCGTTCCATATCAACGATTGTGGCATATTTTATTAATAGAATCTTTGAGTTTTGTGGAAAGAGATTTGTATTTACAAAAAAAGAAGAAATAGAAGGAAAATAAACGGGCGATTCAGGTACTGCCAGATTATTATGGAATGAAAGGAAAGAATTATATCCTATAATTAGACGAACATAACTAGAAGTCTTAAATTTTTATTACATTTCAATTATTGTCAATATATAATATATTAATTCTTTATGATTACTTTATATCCATATTATATTTACATTATACGTAACTGTACGTATGAAATATTATACAATTTGTTAAAGAATGTTACTAAATAATAAAGATCAAATCATGGTTATATAAATATCTGCGTTCTTCATGTACTTAGTAAGATGGATAATGAATGCATTTATAGATATGTCCATTTCTACTGATATAGACTAACTTTAGTTTCAATTCGACTTCAATTTTATCTAATTTTTATATAGAACTATGAATTGAATCAATATTAAAATCAATTTACATCAATGAAAACAGATGTAAGAAATGTAAGAAATATGCGTTTGGTAAAACAATTTTGCAATGAGTGAGACATTTTCAAGTTTTGAAGGAAGCAAAATTTAAGTGTAGCGAAGCGTCAAAATTGTTTTTGAAAAAAATTAATTTGTTAATTGATTTATTTACTTTTACTGAAGCGCAACTAGAGAAAAAGAAAGATTTTTATTAGACGCATTTTCTGCGTCTACAATGTAATAAGTGCAGAAAGTACACCGTAGTGTAGTCAAAAAACTGATATTCAAATTTAAAGACGGATAACCTCAATGTGGTGCGACTGCGTCCGCAGTTGACGCAGTTAGGTTGTGCATGACGCACATAAGAAATATATTTGCCGATGAAGAATCGACTGAATCGTACAGTATAATATATCAAAAATAATTTTCTATGATGTCGTCTGACATCAAGGACGCTGAATTCCAGGCGTATAAAGATGATTCGCGAATTCCTTGCCAGTACGGTGCCGAATGCTATCAAAAAAATCCGCAACATCACAACAAATACAAACACCCGCCAAAAAGAAAAATGATGGTAACGTATAATTAGGACTAGTTTGGTTGCACGCATAATGCGCGTAAAAAATCATGTTATCCTTTTGTTTAACACTCTGCAAACATGGTACTTCATATACGTGTATTAGACGTGTAACGGAATGCAACTTGACGAAATATGTATATTTGTTTCAACTTGTTGCACCGTGTGAACTAGTTCAAACACACAGAGGAAGAATAAAAAAACAGATCTACTTTCATTGACTAAAAAATGGCAAATTTGCAGTTGATATACTAACATTAATTAATGTTACAATTTAATAATTACTATTAATACACTCGATTAACTTATAATAATACTTGTCTTATTTTGTCAATCTGGATAAAATTAATTTTGTTTAAAATATGGAAGAATGATCAGAGACAATGATTTATATTATATTGTTTAAAATTTATCTTTAAGAGCAATTCTGTTGGCTGAATTAAGCACTGATTAAATTAATTATTCTAATGTACAGTTGTTTTTATTTATCTTTCTGATTTTTCAGGTAGAAAAGAAAACTGAGAAGATAATTACTGGAGAAAAGAGAAAACAGCCTATTAAAGATGATAAAAAAGCAGGATCGGAGAGTCCACAAAGAAAATTGCAAAAGACGCTTGAGACTTCTGAAAAAAATTTACATAGTCTTTCTCCAAGTCCAGAGAGAAATGATGTCATTATACATAATAATGAGGATGACAATGAAAACTTGAAAGAGAAAACAGAAGCATCAGATAAGAAAATATTGAATAGACATAATTCATATAATTCAGTCGAAAACGATGCAACTGAGAATACATCAATGTCTGATGTGAATGTCAAAAAAATTATTGCGGATCTATTTCTGGTCGAAATGCCAGAAGATTTTTTTCAATTTTATGAATTTTGTAAAAGTATATCAAAAGATAATCCCCTTTTGGCTTGTAAATCTATTCGCTTGAAACTTGTGGGTCCATATGATATACTGGATGGTAAAATAAAAATTTTGAGTGAAAACGATAAGGAAAGATATTTGACACACTGGAGATATTATTATGATCCTCCAGAATTTCAGGTATATAAAATAAACTAGTATTTTCTAAATACAATGTCATTTAACATTGTATTCGTGAGTACAATATTATAAAAGCACTAAAGATATAGATTTACACGACACAAAAATTAAATTCACAGACTATTGTGAAATGCGATAATAAAGAAGGATTACATTTTGGTTACTGGCGAGATGACACTGTAGAAAAACCAGTATTTATAGCAAAAAATGAAGCAAATGTGAATGGTATATTTGAACCCGTTGCAGAAAATATATTTGGTGCTGTCGAGTAAGTAAAAAAATTTAAGGGATTTAATGTATATAGATCTGTATTTATATAAATTTTATTATTTTTTTTATATTATTCTTTTGTTATCTATATTATTTAATCTAAATTATAGCGCTTATTTGTACAACAAAGTGAAATCAGCTAATCCTTTCGAGAAAATCAGCATAACACGTTTGCATTCACAACTGAAGAACTTTGCCAAACAGCACAATATAACTTTGGAGAAAAATACCGCAGACATGAGAGCGAGAGAGAGGCTAGTTGTAGCGCGAACCTTTCATAAAGCAGGCATAGTAGTACCTTATGATAAGAAGACTCAATTGGGTTATAGAGATTTGGCAGCAACCGACAGTAAGTACAATTAACACTAATGGTATTTAATGCGCACACATTCAGATTTTTTATAAATTGATTATTTATAAATTGTATTTCTCGACTGTCTTATGTTTATAAGAAATAAAAAGAACTGTAAAGTCATATATGTTATAAAATATACCCTTACAAATATGTTCACTAAATATCGTTAATATACTCCATTATATATATACACACACAGCAAAAAGTATTTAAAATTATCATTTTCTAATTTAAATCCAATTTTAAATTATTCGAGATTATCATTATACATACTTTTTTTACACGTATATAGACTCACGCAATGTAAATGTGACGTATGTTATAGATGACTTGCAAAAGATATTGAAGCAGATAGAGGAAGCTGGTACTCCGGAAGATAGAAAAATATCGATTGCGAAGCTCGATGAAATCGTAAGGTTGGCGACGATAGCCGCGGACGAATGCGACTTCGGTACTTGCTTGGAGCTCGGACACGATCTCTTTTCGAACGGCGGTTTTCACGTACAAACTAGAGCTCTGCAGATGCTATCTATCGCTTACACTCATTTAAAAAGACCACAGCTGTTGAAAATACTTGAAGCACATTTGAAAAACAGGAAGAAGGATTGTGAATTAAGTGTAATTTAACGAAAAGACATTTAAAGACGTTTATATATCATATATAGTTTTTTTTAAATTAAATTTTGATTACACACGCACACGCACACTCTATGGTTTTTTTTTTAAACACTGACGTTATGCTGCAAATAAAATAAACAATAAGATAATTAAAGATAAGATAAGATAATAATTAAATACACTACTCGCATTAATTAAAGCATCACCTCTCACACCTTCGAAAAATTGGTAAATTTTAAATGTAACTTCTACAAAAATGGTAAAAATAAGACTTTTAAAAAAGCATTTTGTAGCTTGAAATCTCTACTTTACGGAGTTATAGGGACACAAATGGATATCCGTCAAATCTAAAAATTTTTCACAAACTTTACAAAGGTCTATGGCATGAGATAAAAATTACACGAAAATGCGATTTGCACAGTATTGGAAAGAGTGAACCTTTAACTTTAATTTACTTTTTTATTCAACGTTATACGATTTTAATTCACCGAGTTATTCAACATTGAATTAAAAATGGTCCATTTGACTTTGACTGTTCATAAAAGACGAACAGAGTGACGTACAGCATTTTTTAAAATGCAAAAAAAAGGTCAAGGTTTTCTCCTTAAAATGCTTTTATCAATTTTTAGACGCAGATAAGCTTTTTATGTAAAAACTTAAATGAAAGGTGAAGTTGAAAACTGAGGCAATTATCCGTTTCTATTCGACTCGATCTATTCTGGTCAAAAGAGAGAGAAAGCAACTCTGATAATTAACGTAATTTTAAACTTTAGGGTCTACTAATTTTCACGAGACTCATACGAAACAGTCGCGACATTTTGACCAGAATAGATCGAGTTGAATAGAAACGGATAATTGCCTCAGTTTTCAATTTCACCTTTCATTTAAGTTTTTACATAAAAAGCTTATATCTGTGTCTAAAAATTGATAAAAGCATTTTAAGGAGAAAACATTGCGAGTAGTGTATATAAGACTTTTGTGTACTTAAGCAAATGGAGAAAAATCAAAATTAAAGATTATTGAGTTTTTTCGCTGCTTCTGTTCCATTGAAATACCATGTGGGAGCGGTATAAACTCATAACTTTTAATTTAATTATAAATTTGAATAAAAAAATATGTATCATAATTTTTTTCTAAATTTATTTTTTACTCTATGGTCATGATTTTGTTTACCCTTTTTTTTTGTACGTAGGTATGTGTGTGATTTGTAATAATTGCATTAAAAATTTATATATCCTAAAAAATATTCAATGTCTTAAAGTTTGTTAGCATAATAGGCCTTCTACAATAAGCCATTACCTAAGTTTTAAGTATTTCGTCATAAGAAATTGACCACTCACAGTCGATTATTCTTCTTACATTCGATTGTGATCGGTAAATTTCTTATGATTTAACACTTCAAACTTAAATAATGGCTATTGTAGAAGGCCCAATACAGCGAATGACAATTACGAAATAATCAAAATGCAGATATATTATTCATTGTCATAAAATAAAGTAAAAAATTTAAAAAAAGATTCTAAATTATATAAAATATAATGGTGATGTGATAGAAAATAAAATAATATTTAATCTGAGAAAATCATTATCTAATAATTTTATTTAAAAATATATCGCATATTTTTATATATCTCCGATAGATAAGAGATCTGTTCGCAGTGGTTGTTTGAAATCCTCAACAATTGTTAAACGCAGTAGATATTCATTTGGGCGTTGTGAAAAGAGAGGAAAGGAAGATATGCTAAGTGCAAGAAGTGCAAGCAACGCAAACAGATCTTTTTGTTGGTAGCATCCGGCAATATGAGATCTCAGGTTGGCGGCACTGCGTGTCAGTGTTTAGTAACCATTCGAGTTTCGAGTGCTTGACGTTCGTCGGTGCTGGTCGGTGCCACGAACGCGCAGTGGTGTGCGGTGGCGTGACACTGTGCGCGACAGTGCGTACGTGCGTGCGCGTTCCGCCCGTGGTATCAGCAAAAATATGCAAAAGTATGAGAAGCTCGAAAAAATAGGAGAAGGTGAGCTGTTTTGCGTTTGAAGGAGAACAAACGTTGTCCGGCGACGCAGGGTCGCCGTCGTTACCGACGTCGCCCGCGTCGTCCTCTCGGTGTGTGCGTCGTGTCCCCTCCTCATCTGTGTTCCACTCTTTCTGTCAACGCAACAGCCAAGCCGTGTTACTATCAAATCTCCGACTCGCTTCTTGTTATTTTTTATTTCCAGGCACTTATGGCACCGTGTTCAAAGCCAAGAATCGCGAGACGCACGAAATCGTCGCGCTGAAGCGGGTGCGACTGGACGATGATGATGAAGTAGGTAGTGCTCATCCGATCCATCTTTTTCTCTCTTTCTTTTTTTTTCCTCTCTTCTCTTTCGCACGAATCCCCTTCGTCGCAATCCCCACCTGCTGTTTTGCCGCGACACCGGCGTTCCGATTAATCTAATTAATCGATCGCTCGCGCACTTTATTTATAACGCGTCGCTCGCCTCGTGTCGCGTCGAAAATAAATCTTCACGACGAAGGCCGGCGCGATCTCCTTGATATCAGCGTCTTATCGCTCTTGTGTGCTCTTTATACTCAAGGGTGTACCATCGTCAGCTCTACGGGAGATCTGTCTTCTGAAAGAACTGAAGCATAAAAATATAGTTCGTCTCTATGATGTGCTGCACAGCGACAAGAAGCTCACCTTGGTATTTGAGCACTGTGATCAAGATCTCAAGAAGTACTTTGATAGTCTAAATGGAGAAATTGACTTAGACGTCGTTAAATCATTCCTGTAAGATGCTTGTTTTCTGAATCTATCCCATCGATTGTGAGTAACTCTTGTGGAAAAATACTATTGGATTAGTGAAAAAATTGTTAGAACAAATATAGTTTACGATATTTGATCAAGTGATTTTTTTAATTGTTTCCAATGATTTTTTCACGAGTCTAATAGTATTTTTCCATAAGATTAACAAATTCATGTACTCTTTCAGATATCAATTGTTAAGAGGACTAGCTTTCTGCCATAGCCGGAATGTTTTACACAGAGACCTCAAACCGCAAAACTTACTCATCAACAAGGTAAAAATGCAGCTACCAAATTTTTATATTTGTTTATTTCTACAGAAATTCTTTTATATATTTAGATGTTTTTTTTTACAGAGAAAATTGTTTATAACTATTTTATGATTGTCTATTAAATCAGAGAATTATTTACAGAACGGGGAGTTGAAACTCGCTGATTTTGGATTAGCAAGGGCATTTGGTATCCCTGTAAAATGTTACTCGGCAGAAGTTGTTACATTATGGTACCGTCCCCCGGATGTTCTTTTCGGAGCAAAATTATATACAACGTCCATTGATATGTGGAGTGCGGGATGCATATTCGCCGGTAATTGTCCATTATGACCATCTTTTTTTCCTTAAGAATTAAAAAGTCAACTATTGGCAAAACTTTTTATAATCAATATTATGCACAAATATTTACGAATATTTAATTAAATTATTTTTTGTCTCAATATGTTGCAGAATTAGCGAATGCCGGCAGACCGCTTTTTCCTGGATCAGATGTAGATGATCAATTGAAAAGAATATTCAAAATGCTAGGCACACCGACTGAAGAGACGTGGCCGGATCTAACGACACTTCCTGATTACAAACCATTCCCACAGTACCATCCCACGCAAGGATTGGCGCAGGTTACACCTAAACTCACTTCAAGAGGCAAAGACTTACTTCAGGTAAATCATCATTTATTTTAATCATTGAAATAGTAGAATTGTTAAACATAAACACAGATTCATACACAGGTTCGAGTCCTGGTTAAGGTAGTAATACTTTAGTGATAAGTTATTTACATTACAATGATTCATTAATTTAATTATCAAATTTCAATTTGATTTTGTTTAGAATTTGATAAATCGAATCGGTGCACAGTATAGAATTGATAATCGTATATGTATATTCATGTATATATAAATGTTATTAATTGTAAACTTTAAGATCTACTTTATAGTTTTTTCTTATTTTTTTTTATTAGCGTTTAATACTTCTCGATTTTATTTAATATTGTTTATTAATAGTTATTTAAAATTATAGACATTTCTAATATGTTTATAGAATATATTAATATATATAACATATACATAAGCGCAATCAAACTCAACCGATATTAATACAATAATCTAACAATTTATAACAAAGAATGTAAAATGGAAAAAAATATAATAGAAGTGGAAATGTAGGAAAATTCGAGAAATTTAGAATAAGAGCATCGAAGTATAAAATATAATGAACAATAAAGAAAACAATTTCCGTATAATGTATGCACAAAAGAACATCTCAATACTACGATTCAAGCCTTCATTTTAAAAATACGGACAATACAAATAATTTGAAAGATAGAAAACTTGTTTCTCTAAAAAAATTTTTTTTTAATAGAATATCGACAAATTACTTTTACAATTTTCTAAAATTAGGTAATGACGAGCTCTTTTATTTCAAGTTCTGGATAATTTTCAATTGCATATTTTTTCTGATTAATAGAGATTATTAGTGTGTAATCCGGCTCTACGGCTGTCAGCAGAGGAAGCGATGGCACATCCGTATTTCAACGACTTGAACCCTCTCGTAAAAAACGACCGATGCCAATAGCAAGTCATCCCTCTTAGCTTAAACCAACCGAAAGCATATTATGGTGCGTACGACACGCAGCGACCAAAAAGTGTTAAGGAAAACGCTCTGGCAATGATCGTTTGTTAATAAATAAATATATACACATATAAATATATGTTTATATATGTATATATGTGTGTGTATGTGTGTGTGTATTATATATATCTGTATATATATACACACATATATTTATATTATACGCGCTCGGACGAAATATTCGTCCCTTACGACGAAAAGAAGACACCGGCGAGTCTTGTCACTTTATAATGTTGAAAAAGAATTGATAAATCGTTAATTTTATCTTGACGGTAACTTCTTTGTATCGAAAGTAAAAATTTTATGGTCAACGGAAAAAAAGCGATGTTACGAAGTCGCGACTGATGAATATGAGGATTTTATGCGAGTTTGAGGATATTAAGCGCGATTT